TGCCTTAAATTCTGGGCTTCAGTTCTACCTTTTCTTTGGATGACGTGTGTGTGAAGGTGAGAACATGATGGAAACGGAGGCACTTTTCATGCCCTGGTGGATGATTGGGGTTCAGAACATCGCTCTCCGAGACAATGATGGAGACATCCGGAAATTTCCTCCCTTCTGTTTCCCGTTCATGTAGATTCCAAGCCAGACCAGTCCCCAGGCTGCTTCGGGGAGCCTCTTTTACAAAAGATTAGACTTCCACTTCCCCAGTTACGCTAGCTCCACCTTCATGCAGCTGCACCAGCATCACCTTGATCAGTTCCCCGTCAAGTACGATGCTTGCTGCTCCATTGTCTCTACAAATAATGCAGTTCATACAATGCGCCTCCTCCAGAATCTGCGTGGTGTTTCCGAATTTCATGTCTCAGCGATGACCTCCGCTGTGGCTTTGGCTTGGATGGTCACCTCTTACTATCAGTGATAACTATTTTGATTTAAATCCTGAACTCTCTTGTCCATGCTAGTGGCATCTTATACTTGCAAACTCTTCACTTCTTTCACAAGGATTTTTTCAACACATACTTGTTTAAGCCATCCTCATTGTGCCAGGCCCTGAAGAGGCTGAGGACTGAGGTGGCCTGAGAGCCTGGGGAGTAGCTGGGCCAGGCATCTGCCCTGTGAGATGAGGGGAAGGACATAGAAACCCTCGATCCACACCCTTCACCCCTCTAGCCACCTGGGCTTCTGCAAGTCAATGACACTTTCTGAGCTTCAGTTTTCTTATCCAGAAAAAGCAACCATGCCCTCTGGCCTCCGGCTTCCCTGGCCTCACGTGGGGTCCCACAGGGGCATACTTTGTCCAGCTCTCCGCAGAAGCCTGTGGCTGCAGGGCATGGGTGGGTATCCCGGTTCTCCAGGCCAGGGAACTGAGGAGCTGAGATAGGAGGGGCCCTCCCTGAGTTCTCCAGCAGCAGGGGCTTCCAGCCACGTCTGGAGGGAAATCTCCTCACAGAGTCCCCTCCATCAGTGCACGGAGACACGTGATCTTGGCACACTGAGATGTCCGTAGCACTTTAAGGGTTAAATTAGTTGCCTAAGAGTGGAGATTTTAATTTACACTTTGAAGTCACTTGATTTTCAGTCCATCAGAATAATGACTTTTCTGTGTTAGCAGACTCTAGAAACCAGGAAGGGCTATGGATCAGACCACCTCTCAGACCCAGCTGCTCCTCCTTGGCTCCTTCTGTCTCACCTGTCTTTCCTGTCCCTTTCCTCTCCCTCTGCGGGGAATTGTGAGGCTTTTGAAATTGTTCATGTATCCCGCGCACCAACACATAGCCCCAGCCTAGGGCAGGGCGAGGAAAGCAGAAGACCGGTGACAGACAGACGGTCCCAAAGCCCGGTGGCCAGCTGGCGGAGCTGGGTCTCCACGCACTGCAGGCTGCTTCCACACATAGGACACTTTGGCAGTAACTTTCAGAAATGAATATTGTATTTCCGTTAAAATTGCAAAGCTGCTTTTCACAGAGACAAGATTTCAACCCAATCTTCCATAACTGGAGTAGCAAACAATGTTGATGAACATTTTCAGTGTGCCATTGGGCCTGACAAATCTCAGAGAGAGAAAACACAGATCACATAAAATGTGCCTTTTGGAGTTCTACCTAGAGCAGCATGATTCAGAGTTCACGATGGACTTGCCCGGCCAGGCCTTGTCTACAGGAGAAGAGGAAAATTCTTCCAAATGAGGTCCCTGGCCCAAAAACACCAACTAAAAAGAGACCCCTGGCCACCGAGGCAAGACTGGGTCGTGTCCACAAGCTCCTGGTGCCCGCAGACCGACCCTCCGCAGCCACCTCCACCCTGTCCTGTCCTGCTGTGTGTTTGAGAAGTTTCCGGACTGCTGCTCTCTGGGGCAGAGTCATTCATGACCTTTCCATAGCCACGCAGAACAGGGAGGGAGCTGAGGAAGGAGAACACCAGGGAGAGACCCGTCCCCCAGCACCAAGCAGGCTAGAAGTCCTGGACTGAGTCTTCCGTGTCAGCGTAATGGGACAGAGAACCTGCTGACTCCCCAAACCCATGCAGCTTGGTTGCACTTTGGATTTCTGCCAAAGCAACAAGCTTTCTCTGCACTGTGAAATGATTTCAATGAATAGTTTCAACGAAGAAATTCTCATTACTAGAGTCAGCATCTTCATGAGTCACCATCAGAACTGACATGCAACAGGTAGAGAAGAAGAATAATGCCCTCTGAGAATAATGCCGACTTCTCAGCTCTGAAAACCCGTCTGACAACCTTAATAGCTCATCAGCCTTACAAATGGTCGATTTTTCGATGCAACGGATGAAGGCTGTTTGTTTTTAATGTCGTTTGAATTTAAAGCACTTATTAGGTGACTAGCTTGTTTCCTGGTATGGAAATTGGAGATCTGTGTGGTGTAGTGAGCAGACACCAGCCCCAGATACAAACAGCCTGGGGAGCTCCTGGCTTGCCACTTGCTGGGAAACCTGAACTCAGTACTTGGTTTTCTTCGAACCTCAGGCTTTTTCTCTCTGAAACTGGTATAACAGTAATAATCATCTTCCAAGTCTAAGATGAGGACTAACTTAGATGAGTTAGCCTGTGAGTGCCTGATACCGTGTCTGGCAAACCGTAGGTAGTCACTATTTACCACAGGCCAGAACAGAGAGAAAAGGCAGCGTGAGGTCCTGCCTGCCTCATCACCATTCCTTCCACCTTAGAACAAAATGCTTCTCCCTGAAGCCAGGGTGTTCCCATCGTCTTGAAGCCTGTGAAGTGTGTAGGGCACAGAGTCCCGTCTCTGTTGTACCAGCCACATGCAGGCACACACTTAGGCTCACACACATGCAAGCACCGGCACGGTGCACAGGAGAATGAGCCTCCAGAGAGTGCGGCTGGCTACAGGGGAGGGCTTGGAGTGCCAGGTCTCATGAGACCCCCCAACTCAGTGCCCTTCCCAACCGGCTGCGTCATCGTCCCTGAACCAGTTTCTTAGATGAAATGTCCAGGGCAGTCGGACAACACAACCCAAGTCCAGGACTGTGTGCTTTGTCGCTGGTGGAGGTACCACGGCACGTGGAAAAGAGGAGCGCAGCTAACACGTGATTCTGGTTTCTGTTTTGACTGTGTGTGGACCAGTGAGGCACAGACTGTGCCCTGGTGGCCGTGCCAGGAGGCAGTCCTGGCTGGGGCTCCAGCACCCATGGCCTGCGGAAGCTCAGTGACGGCTGGTGTGTGTTCCAAAGGTTCCTGGGCTGCACATCCTTATCCCGGCTGAGGGCTGGTTAAGCTGAACCCGGTGTCACTGGGAGGCCTTCCCCTCTCCCAGGAGCCCACTCCCGTGGCCACCACACCTGAGGGCATCTCCCCTGCTCCTTGCTCCTAGGTGCCTGGCAGTGCTGCAGCCAAGGGACTGATCCAGGCCCTCAGGTTTCCTGCACACAATAGAACCAGCCTGCACCGCAGAGGGGAAGGGGGAGGAGGGAGTCTAGCAACCATATCTCCATAGCAACGCTCGCCTGCATCCCCCCTGCCTCTCAGCCCCAGGGCAGGCCCCCAAGTGCCAGAGAGTGGGGGCACAGAGAAGGCAGCCTGAGGAAGGGACCCCCTTCCCTTCCTAAGCCTTCAAAGAGCCTTCCTCCCTGGCTGGTGACGCCTGCCCTGCCTTCAGGGCCGGGGGGATGGGGCTCTGGAGACCTGCTCCTTGCCAGTGCTGATAAGACAGGAAGATTAAAAACGACTACAAGCCTCTCATCCTCTAAGATCCTTCCCAGTTATCAAGGGTTTCTTCCTTCCTTCCTTCCTCTTCTAGAAAATCATTCCTGTTCTTTCTTTATAGCTTACATAACAACAGATCATTTTTAAAAGGAGATTCTTTGCCTAAGAAACACATTTTTGATATTATGCAAGTGCAGTTTCTATTAAAATACACTCTGAGACAGATACACTTTTAAATGATTTTCTTAAAAATCAGAAGCAAGACCAGGCGCGGTGGCTCCCGCCTGTAATCCCAGCACTTTGGGAGGCCAAGGAGGGTGGATCACCTGAGGTCAGGAGTTCGAGACCAGCCTGGCCAAACTGGTGAAACCCCGTCTCTACCAAAAATACAAAAATTAGCTAGGCATGGTGGCGCATGCCTGTGATCCCAGCTGCTTGGGAGACTGAGGCAGGGGAATCGCGTGAACCTGGGAGGCGGAGGTTGCAGTGAGCTGAGATCACGCCACTGCACTCCAGCCTGGGCGACAGCTAGTCTCTGTCAAAAAAAAAAAAAAAAAGCACAGAGCCAAAGTTGCTTCCCACTGAAGGTTTACTAAATAAAGAAGGATTTCTAATATTAAATTTGTCACAGTCAGCAGCTTCCCCCGCCTTCTGGCCACAACGTGTTATTTTATTTGGAACAGTTTTGGGGATACAAATTAATGGAGAATAGCTAATATAATGAAGGTAATGTGTGAACAATGGCCTTCATCTACATATTCACATTAACGAGCATATCTACATTTAATCACCAAACTTTCATTGCATCCAGACTGCCATGAGGGGGAATTGCAGACGGAGCCATATACAGCCTATGTCCTGTCTGGAGGAGAGCCAGGGAGCGTCCCAAGGTCCCCCGCCCCCCCAAAACCTGTGGATGTGGCTGCCAGGGCCACTCTTGGCATCTGCCATTCACTGACTTGACTTCCTAATCCTCCCTCTGACAGACGAGCTTCCTCTCCCCAGCCAGAGGCAAGAAATACCCTTGAGACTGAAGATGAGGACTTTGGACTTCAGTGATGAGTAGTGCAGGAAAACCTGCCAGATGTTTGAGCCCAACCTCCAGGGACGAGAGATGGGATAGGCAGGAGGAAACCGGGCTGTGGGGCCTGGGGGTGAGAGCCAAGATAATGGGGCCTCTGGGAGATGCTCATAGCCTGAGTGCCGTGTGCGACCCTCGGTTCACTTCGCGGCAAGGGCGACCCTCGGTTCACTTCCCAGCAAGGCCTACCTTCATCCACACCTTCGCCCAAGGTCTCTTCTCTCACCCACACCCTTCTCTCCACTCAGTGACTTCCTGGGGCTGAAGCTGCTTCCCTGGTGTTTTCTCCGCTCTGTCCTGTGAACAAGACTCTGTCTCTCTCTCCCTCTCTTCCTCCCTCCCTCTCTTCCCCCAACCCTCTCTCTCCCTGGCTGCCCCTCTCCTTCTCTATCTGCCTGCTTCACACTCTCTCCCTCTCTCTTTCTCTCTCTCTCCCCCCCTCCCTTTCCCCACCCTCTCACTTTCTGCCTGCCTCTCTCTCTCACCCTCTCCCTCTCTCCCTCCCTCTCTCTCTGCCCCTCTCTCTGCCCTCCCTCTCTCTGCCTCTCTCTCCCCCTCTCTCTTTCTCTCCTTCTCTCTCCTCCTCCCTCTTCCTCTCCTTCTTCCTCTCTTTCTCTTTCTCCCTCTTTCTCTTTCTCTCTCCCTCCATTTCCCCACCCTCCCACTCTCGGCCTGCCTCTCTCTCTCTCACCCTCTCCCTCTCTCTCTCCCTCCCTCTTTCTCTGCCCTTCTCTCTCTCTGCCTTCCCTCTCTGTCGGCCTCTCTCCCACTTCCCTCTCTGCCTCTCCCTCTCTCTTTGCCTCTCTCTCTCCCCCCACTCTCTCTCCCCCAGTCTCTGCCTCTGTCTCTCTCTCTCTGCCTCTCTCTCTCCCCCCACTCTCTCTCCCCCAGTCTCTGCCTCTCTCTCTCTCTTTGCCTCTCTCCCTCCCTCTCTCTCCACCTCTCTCCCCCCTCCCTCTCCCTCTCTCCCTGCCACTCTCTCCCTCTCTCTTTGCCTCTCTCTGTCCTCCCAACTCTCTCTCCCTCTCTCTCTGCCTGCTTCTCTCCTCCCCGCTCTCCCCTCCCCACTCTCCCCTCCCTCTCTCTCTCTCTCTGCCTGCCTCTCTCTCCTCCCCCCTCTCTCTCTGACCGCCTCTCTCTCTCTCCATCTGCCTCTCTCTCTTTCATCTTCATAAGGCCATCATCATCTGCACCTATGGGAGCTGTGGGCAGCAGGTGACGGGACCAGAGGTGTCTGTGGAGCCTTCATCCTTTGTCCACTCACAATACCCTGTAGTCACAATACCCCGTGGTCCTGACTCTCCCTAGCTCTCACCTCTGTTGTAAGTGATCTTCCCTATTTATAAAAAGATCCCCTTGGCCATGGTCCCCACCTCGGCTTGACCCACCTGCTTCCACCTGGCCCATCCTCTCCCCACGAGGCACCTCCAGGCCATCTCCTGGATGCACACTCCAAGCTGCTCCATCGCAGACAACTTCCTTTCGCACCTTTCAGTCCGCACCTGCTGCAGCATTGTCACCCATGGCCCTCAGACACTAGCCCAGAGGCTAAACCCAGTGCCTGTGAGGTGGGACAGCTTGGGTTCAAAGCCCACTCCTCGCCGTGGACAAATTCCTCAATGCCCGTGCCTATTTCATCTGAAACAGGGATGGTGGCAGTAGCCTCTTGCTCCGGGGACTGATGGGAGGAAGATGTAAACACAGTGCTGTTGGCTGTTCTCATGGGGTCGTCTCACCCACCACGTGCCTTGTGTACTGAGCATGTACTAAGTGCTGGCTCTTCTTACCCACCCCTGCAGAGCTCACAGGCCTTCTTGCTAACTCTGTGAACGTTTGCTAGTCCTTATGTGATTACCTGCACCACCACAGCAAAAGAAGGCTGCCAGCCTCTAGGAGATCCGAGACCTCTGTAGCCTGGCTTAGCTGCTAAGAGAAAAAAGGATGGGGAGCTAAAATTTTCTACACTTAATTTAGTTCTTTAGTCCTAACAAGGATCCTAATGATGTGGGTGGGGATTATTTTTCCTATTTCACAGATGCAGAAACTGAGGCTCAGAAAGGTGCAGGGACTTGTCTGAATGTGCCGCACCAAGGGAATGGCAGAGCCTCGGGCCACACTGTGTCTGGCTCACTGAGCCCTTTGGCCACACCCCTGAGTGCCTCAGCCTCAAAGCCTGCAGGAACCCTACAGGGCCATAGGAGCAGGGCTGCTGGCCAGGTGTGCAAGCTGCTGGGCTAGAGGGGGTATCCCTCAGCCCCGCCTGCCCCCTCTCACCCCCAGTGCAGGTCCCACCTTTGTCTGCACCTTCCCCAAAGCAGGCGCTGAGTCCTCCAGCCCCCAGCCCAGTTCTCCACACAGATGCCCAGGGAGTCCATAGCCCAGGGCAGATGCAATAGCCTGGCAGGTTAGCACACTGACACCCACACAGGTGCCCTTCCCCTCTGCCTCCCCACAAGAGCACCTGGTGGGGACAGTACCCTGGGGCCCATGGAGCAGCAGCCTCTGGCAGAAGCCTGGTGACAGGAAAAGCCAGAGCCTGGATAGAGTGGAAGCACAGCAGTTGGGCACAGCTAAGCCAGGCTGAGCCCCGCCTCCCCGCTGAGAGCCAGGAGAGACAGAACAGGCCGACACCTCTGGCAGCAGCCACCATTCTGTACCAGCTCTGTGAGCCTGGCATATGGCTGGCTCCTCAGAACCTGTAGAGCATGAAGGCTGCCCCGAAGTGACTGCTGAGGTGGCTTCAAGCAGGGGCCACGAACCTCCCATGCCTCCTTTTGTTCCGGAGACGTTGAGGGCAGAACTGTTGCGGAGGGGAGTTTCACGTGTGGAGGGGCACCAGTGCCGCCCATCAGAGCTCAGCCCTGCCCTCCCAGACCCTGAATAAATGAGATGCCTAAACACAGAGACAGCTCTGTGCAGGGGGCAGAGCGGAAGTTCAGCCTGGGGACAGCGACTGGGGGACAGGGCCAGCTCTGCCCTGGGGAGTGTCCAGCAAACCTTATGTGGGGCCCCGTGTTGAATGGGAGGCAATAGGACAGACAGGGCCAGGGACACGAGGCCAGCACATGCCCGGCTGAAGCTGGGAAGGCAGGAGCTGGCGGGGAGGGAGCAGCAAGACTGTGGAGGGCCTGCTGGAGACTGGACGCACCATGGCAGGGAGGGCTGCGGAGACTGTGGAGGGTGCAGCCCTGAGGCGGGGGTTTCCAGAGGGCCCCGGACCTGCCCCGTCTTCTGGGAGCTAGCTTTCCGCAAACTGGGGAGGACCTCGCACCACGTGGTCCTCACACGAGGGTTGCCCTCTCCTGAGCATCCTGTCCCCTGAGAGCCATGGAAGCCTCCTGGAATTCCCTGAAGAGGCATCTTTGTTTCCCAGAGGGAAGGCATGGCCCCCACCCCTCACCATCCCTCTGGGCCATGTCAGGCTGTGAAGAAAACCTGCAGCTGCAGTCCTGGGGGCTGTGAAGGCCAGTGGCAGGTGCCCATCCAGCCACCTTGTGACACTCCCCGCACTTCTCATCGAACCCCAGCTGTCTTTGAGCTCCTCCCATGAGGGTTAGCTCCATCGCCCAGGGCAGCCGTTCTTTCCTCTGTCAACCATGATCAGAGGCTCTTCCCAAGAGGGAGTCCCGAGACGCTTATGAATGTTCAGAGCAAGATTTCTTTCTGCCTCATAACATTTACCTTCCATCTATTTTAAAGCAGTCATTTGTTTGCCTCGAGTCTAGTCTTCTCTGAGCTAACTATCCCCCCAAATGTCCCCAAATGTCCCCTTTTTTTTATCTCTTAAGTGACATGTTTCAAGTGCTTCCACTGTTGCCGCCACTGTCGGAATACAATTGGCACATGACGTTTCTGTCCTTCCAGGGGTCGGCCCAGAGCAGGACATACCGTTTCCATCCTCGTGGGGGTCGGCCCGAGGCGGGACATAACTGTTTCTGTCCTTCCAGGAGTTGGCCCAGAGTGGAACATACCGTTTCTATCCTCCCGGGGTTCAGTCTGGAGGGGAACATGTGGTTTCTATCCTCCCGGAGTTGGCCAGAGCAGGACCTATCATTTCTGTCCTCCTGGGGGTTGGTTCGGAGCAGGACATACCGTTTCTGTCCTCCCAGGGGTCGGCTTGGAGGGGGACATATGGTTTCTATCCTCCTGGAGTCGGGCCGGAGCGGGACATACCGTTTCTCTCTTCCTGGGGGTCGCGCTGCAGCAGGACAGTACTCTGCGAGCATGGCTCTCACGTTGCTGTGGCATCATGTGAAAGGAAGTCCATGGGGATGAATGTCAGAATCTCAGCACATCTGAGCTCAGTCTTCTCACCCCTGGGTGGATCATAGTTTTCTTGTTGTTTTGCTCTTGGAAGCACATCTTCATTGTTTTCATCCAGCCCATTTTCCCTAACTTGCTCTTGAAACAGATTCCCAAAGGCCACAGGATCCGTGAAAACAGCACATTCCACACTCAGTTCTGAGTTAGGGATCTTTGGTTAAGGCACCCAGTAGAAAGTCAAGAGCCTCAAGGAAGCAGGCCCTGTTTTCCTCTCCCCGAGGTCAGAGCAGGGATTGAGCCCCAAAGCTAGCACCGTCTCCAGGGGGTGCCCAGCACCTCACATCTGGACACGCTACCATTCCCAGCATCCATCTGGGCCAGCCCCACATCCCTGGCCTCCTGGATCACTCCACTGGTGTGAGCCTCCTGTTGGACACTGGAGTCTCCAGGATCTGTGGTGCATTCGTAACACACCTGCAGCAGCTCCTCCTCTCCCTTCCTCCCCCTTTCTCCTTCTCCTCCCATCTTCTCCACTCACCTCTCTCCTTGATTTTTCCTCTCCCCTGTCCACTCAGCCGATTCTCGTCTTTCCCCAGGGATCACACCTCACTGATTCCAGAGCCAGAACATGAGACGGCCACATACCTGCAGCATTTGCAGCAGGTGCTCTGACCTCTCTGCCCTCCTTGGCCCTCTTCGTAACCAGAGGGAAGACATGAGAAGCAGAGGACAGTGTAATTTTTAGCAACTGCTGTGGATGGCTACTTCCTGACTCAGAACTCTAGATAAATTTCATTTTCTTTCCTAGAATCTGCTTCAATCTTCTCAATTTTATATGACCTGGAAGGTCCATGTGAACTCATCAATAAAAAGCACAAAGAGAGGAACGAATGAGCCTTTGAGCTTTAAAAACAAATGAACCCGCCCCATAGATCACATGATAGATTCTAGATTTGGGGGGTGGGCATTATTGATAACAAGGGAACATGTAAGAAGCGTTTAGTGCAGTAAAAATGCACCAGAAGTTAAGAGATGGTTCCTGTAATCTCGGCTTTGTTGCTCCTTGTTGATCTTAAAGGTACTTAACTCTTTACATCTGTTTCCTTGCCTGCAAAATAAAGATATTTTGATTATCTTTTTTTTAAACCTCTTGAAAAATTAAGTCTGTGAAATAATTTGTAAATTTGATATATAAAACAAGATTTGAAATGAGGGAAAAGACAGCTTCCGTGGTA